TATTAAAAATGATATATCTAACAAAATAAAAAATAAATTCAAAATTGGTTCAATAAAAATCAAATTAATATCTAAATTTCACAAATCAAGCAAAGAAACTAATTTGAAGAAATATTTTGTGGTGCCGAAAGGCCATAAAATAAGGAAACAAGTCAAGAAAATAGAAAACTAAATTAAATAAATTCATCAAAAGAAAATCTCTTGCAGCACTTGGTCTGCTTCCAAAATATAGTTTACTCGAAAGCTATCAAATGATAAAATATTTTTATTTATTTTTTAATAACTCAAGCGTTTATTACTTTTGAGGTACACTTGCAATTTGGAAAAATTTATTTGCAGATTGTAATAAATTCACAAATTAAACAAAAAATTATTCAATCAAATGACATCAAAAAGATTGCCCAATTATTTTAGCATCAAAGAAACTTTTGCTTGCTGCCCGAACAAATTTTTATTTGTATTCAAATTCTTATGAAAGTTTCAGTTTTTATTACCCAATTTAAAACAATTTTTTTTCTTTCTCTCTTTTAATGAAATATTTCAATTTTGTAACAGGCTCTTAACTTCATTCATTTTTGACATATTCGTTTTATGTAACTTTATGTAACTTAGTTGAAGAAATTTCTTATTAAAAATTACTTACAATAATTTATTTTTTAATATTTTATAGCATATTTGATTGGCTTGTAAATTTGTGTAAAATAGTTTTTAGTTATTTTTTGGCTTAATCAAATTGATATCGCTCACTGCTTTTGATTTGTCCTCTGTAAACTCGCTTTTCTCAGAGTGCACAATGTGAAATTGCTTGGCGCTTGGGACAGCGACACAAAGCCCCGCCCCGTTCTCTGCTTGGCCCCGCCCACCAGTGCAGTGAGTCGAGCGCGGTCAAAAGGCGACGCCTAAAGCATTTAAATCCTTTTCGCACTTTGGCTGTCTCCGCTTGTTGCGTGTTTTTCCATCAACTATTTCCGGCCGCAATACGTGTGACACGTATATGACATATGAAGTGACTATGTGCGTGCGTGTGAGTGTGTGCGCGAGTGTGTGTGTGTGTGCGCGCGCTTGTCATGCTTCAATTTGTGTGTTTCATGGCGCTTTTGCCATTCAATGTGCCAAGGATGAAGCGTGTCTAATATACCCATCGTTTCATAGCTAAAAAAAAAAACAAGGAGAGGAAGAGTGTGGGAGTGGGAGAGAGAGCGTAGCAGAGGAAACCCATTTCCTCTCGCAGGCCGTAAAATAGGAATTTACTTTATTAAAATTTTTCGCTTCAAAAATATGGGACAACAACAATGGCAATGAGCACAAAACAACAAGCTACGCAAATTTGTTGAAAATCCAAATACACACGCACACCCCACACCCACACATACACACACATACTCGCACACACACACACATGTGCCAGAGCTCAAGTTCGCCAATGATGCGCCGCATCATGAACGAGGTAAAAATTTACTCAACTATGAACTCTCGCTAAAACCAATGTGTATGTGTTAGAGAGAGAGAGAGTGTGTGTGTGTGTGTGTGTGTGTGTGTGATGTCTGTAAAATAGGCTCAAATTTGCGTAGAGAGCGTGCGTTGATGGGGCAAAGGTTATGACTGCGCCTGCTGCTGGCAAGGGTTTTCGCCCGCGTGGACTCGGGTTCAGGGCTCGTATGTGAACCAGGAGAGAAGCAGGAGAAGGGGACAGGCACACGCAGAGGCCAAGCGGACAAGCAAAAGAAAGGGTACGTGCGAGAGAGAGGGAGAGCGGGCGAGGGACAAGGCTCGACTGCGTTTGACAGTTTCATTCAGATAAAGTCGGGTTGGGCAGGAGGCGAGCTCGGGTTGAAAATTTATATAAATTGACAGTAATGCTGGCTGCTTGCTGCTGCTCAGAGCAACAACAACAGCAACAACAACAACAATTTCTATGCTAAATTGCGCGACAACATTGACAACAACAATGCAGCAGCAACAGCAGAAGGAGGAGGAGGAGCAGCAACAGCAGCAGCAGCAGCAGGAGCAACTTTTCGTATCGCATTCTTTTCGGCTCGACAACGCAAATTATGTACGAAAAAGCAAAATAATGAAATCGTAAAGAGTTGCCACACACACACACACACACACACACATAGAGCGGATGCCAGACAGCGCCTAGGCATATATAATCTCTACATAAAAATATATAAATATATTTATACATA